AATATCCAGAAATTTACATTCTGAAAAGGACCAATAAGTGCTAAGGATTCTTGTTCAGGAAAATGACCGATCACATTTGAATCACCAGCCATTTAGCATCCTCCAGACCCTTAACATGCACTCCAGGACCATGAAAAACAGGATTTTAAGGAGCCCCTGCGCACAGTGACTGTAGGCACCTGGTGTCTTCACCTGTTTCCTACCGTCTGTCCATATGTTAGCTTGCTAGCTCTTTCCGACGACACACTAGGCATTGTTCACAGAGACGAAGGAAAACAACAAAATAGCCCAACTGTCCTCACACTCCACCCCTCTTTGCAAAAATCCCTTCCAAAACAACTACTCACATTCACCAAACACAAAGTAATAAAAGAGTGACTTATACCCAAACCTGGTCAGTCCTTCCATTTCTGGAAACTTGCACACAGACTGAAGAAACCCACTCAGCCTTAAAAAGGTCGATCATTTTGCTGTCTACAGCTTCATCTCTGAGAGCGATTGCCGGCTTCCTCGGTCCCTGTCTGCTTGCTCTCTCACTCCCTCTGTGTGTCTCTCTACTTGTACGGGAGAGGAGAGGGTTCCGTCCCCTTTCCTGTTTCTGCTGCTAGATGAAGGATGAATGCTAAACACAGGATTCGAAGGGATTTTCCCCCCCTCTTCTCAGGCGAACAGTTGGAAATCTGAAAGTCTTTCTCTTTTGAATGGCTTAATACGCCACTCACTCACCACAGAACATTTATATAAAGAGGCATAAACACAACCAAGAATTCTACTTAAAAAAAAAGAAAGAAGGAAAAAGAAAAACAACCCTCCTCCAAGCCTATTCTGTTTACTTAACTATTAGCACTTACCCTGAGATGTGCCATAAATGCTCTATTCCAAATGTACAAAAGCCAGCCACATCTCAACTGAGAATTAAACAGTTTTAATGTCTTCAAATCCATGCTCCTGCTCCAAGCCCTGATACAGGCAGTCACTGGCAGCGGTACAATAGTTCTCAACAGCAGACATCTGATTCTTGACATTTAAAAATAACAATATTGGGAAAAAGGGGAGGCTTTTTTTTTTAATTAACTAAAACAGCTTGTGAGTGAGCACACAGCACCCATTGAGTGTATTGATTGGAATGTACAGTGACTACAAGGGAATCCTTGACAGCTACAGGCTAGACACACACAGACCCCTTACCTCTTACACAGTCCTGGTGGGGAGCTTGCCCTAGGTTCATGCCCAGTGAAACTCTCCAAAGACCCTAGAAGGCATTCTCATACTGAAGCCCTACTGTTTACTGAATACTTATTGACATTAATTAGTGAATTAATCCACTATTTGATATTAATTAGTGAATACTAATTTAGTTTTGAATCATATTAGGGATCTTGGTTTTCTTTCCACTGGCAGCCTGATTTCACATTGACATTTTTTGACTGGGATGGGCACAATGCAGGTCGAATGCACGCATGGATTTGCTTCAGACTGAGACTAAATAATAAAATACAACACACATTTACAGCTACATCAGAAACACATCGCAGAACTGGACAGACCTGGGGTCAGCTGTTGGTTGCCCTGCCTCAGTTCTGTCTATAAAGCTAAAGTCAAGGAGGACTTCTTGGGAAGAAGGTGGGGGCAGAAGAGAGGAGGGAAATAGAGGATGGACATGATGGGAGTTTTTTAGGCAAATGGATGAAAATGTCATAATGTTATGAACCCCATCTTTGTACCAGAAAAAGTTCTGAAAAAACAGTCAATGCAAATACAGTATTTTTCCAAAGTTGTTTTGGGTACCAAATGAGATCTAGATAGTTTCTAACACATGAAAGACATGACAGGATTGAGCCCGGTAAACAGAAAAACGTCAGACTTCAGACTTCACAGGGGAAAGAATCAGTTTTGGCTCATCATATAGCTATGTGCCCTTGGTCAAGTTATTCAACACCGTTTTCTATTTTTTTCCTCTGTGAAATGCCTTTAAAATTTCAAAGAGCGAATTGAGTATCACTTGAGAGGCATCTGCTTTTTGGCAAGCATTTATGAATTGAGAGTTACAGGCCTTCCAAGTCTTGGAAATTGCTCTAATTAATACACTGAAATACTCAATTTATGAATTTAAAAATGAGTAGAGACATTACAGCTGTTTAGAACCAAGTGCCTTGTTCCCTAGTAGATGAAGGAGGCACTGGAATCTGAAGGATGGCTCCAGCCAACACCACCAGTTAGTGGCAAATAGGGCAAAGAAACCCAGTGTTCCTGGTGGAGTGGGCTGGCATTTGCTCACTAAATCTTGCAATGGTGATGTTACGTATGACTGTAAATCCAGCCTGAAACAGGCACCTACAGTACTAGGACTAGAAAATAAAACAACTCTTTTTCTTTCTCCAAATTTGTTCCTAGGCTGAGTTTATACACAAAATTATCCCACAGGAGCTGATGGGAGCTGGCAAAATCTGTTTCCTGAGAAGAATATCCCACAGGATGTGGGATTCTTTGTCTCTCCTTCTAGAAGCAAGAGAATTGTTGGAACTCAGGTCTCAGGAGGCATCTCCTACTCCCCCTCTCTTCAGGAATGCTCAGTTCTCCCCTCCCTTTCTGTGTTAAGAGCATCCCAACCTCAGTCTAGAGGGCAGGCAGGAAGAGGCTGTGGTTCTCCATGTTGACTGTTTACTAACATGATCACCCCACTGTGAAACACATTTTTATAAACATCTCTGTATTTTCAGCTTGAAGGCCTTGTACAGAGTAAACTCAATAAATGTACCTAAATAAACTGCAATGCAGACTTCGATGTATCTTTAAAAGGACAAGTAAACATGGGGTTAAGGATTAATTGTTGCCCGAGGTATGAAAGAAAATATTAACTTTATGACAGTTTCAAGACTGAAAAAAAAAGGTGCCATTGTTCTAGGTAGCAAGGTGGGGATGGGAGAGGGAAGCACATGTGAGCTCTATTGTAATTATTGTTTCTAGTGGGGTGATAGCAAGTTAGTGGTGGCCCCACTTTAGTTTTCCTCATAGCTTTCTTAAATATACTATTAAAAAAAACTAGCCCAAGGAAGGCAAATAGTTTGAAAATAGAGGTTTCTAGCCATTGAAGTGTGGCCGTATTAAACCCACACTGTGAATTTTAAACAGTTCATTCTGATGTTACTGAAGAATTTTGAAATACCCCACTTTCACCTTCCTCACTCTCCTACTTAGTTTTGGCATGAAGTAGGAATAAGCCCAAATTTCAGTCTGACAATCTTCAGGTCAAAGGTCAAAGTTCCTCAATGTTTCAAAGCCCCAGTTTCTTCTTTTGGTCTTGAAGATTGAAGACCTTCATCACAGTGTCTAGTACACAGTAACTCTGTAGCTAATACACATTTTTCTTCCCCCTTTCTCTCCCATGGCACACCATCTCTCTTGAGATTTTGACTTTGGTAGGCATAAAAAGAAAGGAAAGTGAATTTCATGGAGGATGCAGGAAGAACACTAACCATTGCACAAGTACATGGGAGAATTCTAATATAACAATGGCTGGTGTTGGAACCATGATCAGCATCCTTCTTAAGTCTAATTCTTCTAATTTCTCATATCTTACCATGACTTACAATAGCACAGGACATAACAATCATCAGTAACAGAGCCTTCACATAGAAAACGTCCCGATTTCTGGGACATCCCCATATCCTTACTCAAACTTTTCAAGCCAGCTATTATTCTTTTCAACAAGAGTACTTCACTTTCAATATTGGATAAAATTTATGTGCTTAAATACTTTCTAAATCCTTAACTTCAGGCCTCATAATGGCCATTTTGTGAACAGACTTGGGTTCTAGTCCCATTTCTGCCACATTTAACAGTGTAACCCTTTAAGCCTTTATTTGAGTTCACTTTTTCTTATTTTAAGTGGGTCAGAAGATCCTTTTAGCTTGAAAATTAATAGTTCTTTGCCTGCATCTATGTATGTGTACCATGTGTGTACTTGTGAGGTCAGAAGAGGGTGTCAGATTTCCTGGATCGGGAGTTACAGACATTTACACACGACTATATGGGTACCGGGAACTGAACCTGGGTCCTCTGCAAGAGCAGCCAGTGCTCTTAACTACTGAGGAAATCTCTCTAGCCCCTTTTGGTGGTTTATTTACACACAGAACCATCATACAGTAAACTAAGCAATCCTATGTTAAGTGGGAAATGCTAACATGTATTTGTGACAAGGTATCTTCTTCCAAAGTTTGGGTATGGGCCCTGTCCTTGCTCAGGCCTGGAGAGATACTCCCAAGAACGAGTTTAACGAGCGAAGTTCTTCGGAAGGAATGGCATGGTGCTTTTGGGGTCTAGTAAAAACTTTCACTGTGAGAGAGGGACAGCGGGGAAGAAAGGGAAACACAGATGCTCTGAAATGGGGGGTCTTTATGTGGTGCATTGTTTCTTAGGGAAAAAACAACTCTGGAGGGGAGAGGGAAGAAAGCTCCGCCTGCCCGCGCTGATATTTTTATCCAGGTGAATCTCCTTTAAGTCAACTGGAGGCAGAAGCAGAAAGGGAGCAGAAGTCGAAGGGGAAGAGCACCCTGCTTTGGAGGCCGTGTGTGGGATTTACATGCTGACACTAATTGTATTTCACTGCACTGATGTCTCCTCTTCGCCCTCCTCTCCCCTGTTGTCCTGGGCTTCTGCAGCTGTGCCTATTAGGCCCCCCAACTGCCTCCTTCTGTCTCCACCTCTGCAGGGCATTATCTGGGTTTTCTGTGTCTTGGGAGCGGGGCGGGCTGGGGATAATCACTGCAATAAGGAAGATGTGTGCATGCTACGTGGTATCAAGAGAACTGAGTGAAGCTGGCAAATCGTGCTGCCTCGAGTCTCCCCAGATCGCTGCCATTAATCACCGAAATGATAACTAATCTGCTTGAGTTCATACAGACATCTCAGAATAGAGCCAAGACTAGAACCCAGGAGCAAAGACCACACAACCGGGCCGGGAGCAATTCACAGCACGTATCACTTAACGTAGATAGTACCTGTAGGTACTGGCAGGACCGCTCCTGTTGACATGCCTCGGACTTCACCATGGCCTGATCCATGTTCACGGAGGCTTTCTGGTAAACCTCTCGGGCTCTGCTCACGGTGAGAGTGGAGGACCAGGCACTCTTCTTCAGAAGCGGGGCATCCAGAGTGACCGGCAGGTTAGCGCAGGTGGAGCACTTGATGTCATTGTTACTCCGGGAGGCCTTCACCGCCTGCTCGCTGATGGTGTTGTAGGCTTCCATGAAGTACTGCGAAGCCGAGCGGTCAGGGCACCTGCCCATGGTCATCACACCCGAGGGCGTGTGGTAGAGGCACATGTCGCCGTCCAGGTTGTCATCTGAGCTCCACCAGCTGGGGGAGGTGGGGGAGGCGTTGGAGGCACTGGATCTGGCCTTGGACTCGGAACGCCTCTCTTTGCTCTTGCTGCGTTTGCCGTATCTCACAGTTTGTGACTCGTCGGGGCTGGCCTTGCCCCCATTGACGCTGCCTTTGGACGGCCCCTCCAGGGAGTGCGACTTGGTGAAGAGCTTCTGGACCGAGTGGACCAGGTGTCGGATGCGGCCCGGGCTGTCGCTGCGATGCTCCACGGCGGTGCGCTTGTACTGCAGCGTGTGGTAGCCATCCCGGCTGAGCGGCAGCTGCCTTTCAAACTGATCCAGCAGGTTGGCGGGGATGCGGTTCGCCTTGGTGGCCAGGGTGCGTGGCACCAGGGCACCCTCGTCCTTCAGCTCCTGCTGCGAGGTGTAGTGCCTGCGTGGGAAGGTGCTGCTGGCCAGCGGGTCACTGAAGGGCCCCACGCACTCGGCCTGGAAGGAATTCCGCTGCGTGTAGTAGGGGTGGTCCGCGGGGTGGTGGTCCACGGGGCTCAGCAGGTAGGGCTTGTGGTCCGAGTGGTGTGACAGGGAGTCACAGGCCGACTCGCAGGTGATCCCGTGGTGGTGGCTGCGGCTACCCGATAACCCTTTCATTGCTGACTGGAAGCAAACGCAGGGGTCATGGGAACCCCGTTAAGTTCCAGACCCGTCTTGGGCAAAGACCTGAGGGATGAAGAACAATGCATGGAGTTAGGTCTATCCTAGGTACATGTACACACTACTGTTAGGTTTCTGAAGGATTCCAGACTGTTCCTGAAAGCAGCTTTCATGCATTATTGGAAAGGTCTCTCTTCTCACCTTTGTTAGGGTGGAAAGAATTATGGGACAAGTAAACTATGAAATGCAATCCCAACTGCTAATTTTTTTTTTCTGAGATATTCTTGCTGCACAGTCCAGTCTGGAGCGTTCAATCTTGCCTCAGCCTGAGTACTACCACACTGAAATCCTTTCCATGTTCTTTGACACAGTAGCTCTCTGTTTTCCCTTATGGTTCCAGTAGCTCAATGTATCTTTCGCCTGCTTCTCTTCTTTCCTTCTTGATACAATGTAAGAAAGATATTTTACTATGTTTAGGTGTGGGAGAAAGTTATGTAGGTATGTGTTGATGCCAGCTGAAAGCAGAGGTGCAGGTGTGGCATCCTCTGGAGCTGGAGTTACAGGAGGTTGTGAGCTGCCCAAATTCAATCCTGGGAATTACACTAAGCAGTATTCAGCCACTAGACCCAACTCTTTACACATTCGCCACAACTTCAGCATATCTATAGGGCTAGGTTTCTGTGGAAAGCCCTTCCTGGTACCCACAGCAGAGAGACAGTTATGCTCTTTTGATTTTATGCCATCTCATATCCACTCCCTGGAACCCACGGGATTGTTTGTTTCTGTCTCTCCCTGTTGAAGTTTCTTGCAGCCTGGCTTGATGCTTCCTCACGTGTATATCTTCCTGTTATCAACAAGATATTACTATAGGCACAAAGAAAGCATTCTGAGTGTGGGGGATTAAAAACAAACAAACAAACAAACAAAAAAACAAGATGAACAAAAGAAGCCCGTGACACATTGAATCATCAGGATTTGTATCGATTTGTTCCTCATTAACTTTCTGTTTGGAATTCTGTAGGAATGATTACAGTATCCAAACATATTAATGATGCTAATGTTAAGTACAACTGTGTATTTATGCATTAATAATGTTAATGTTAAATACGGGCCCATATATTAATCAGCTGCAGATAGCAAGACAAATAGACCAGGGACATAGGGAAATTTGTCCATGTGTTTCTGTTCTCAGAGAGCCAAATGTCCTGTAAACAGAGTAAGGAAGTGTATTGGCTGAGTCTCATGTCATGTCTTCTGGTTGTCATGGTTTGGATCCCAAAGAGCCCCCAAAGGTGTGTTGAGGGCTTGGCTGTTAGCTTTCGGTGTCATTGATAGGTCATGGGAACTGTGGTGTCATTGGTAGGTCATAGGTACTTGGGTAGATGGAACCTCTGGGGAAGAAGTGAGGTCACTGGGAGATGCTGTGGCCCAGGCTCCTTCTAGCTCTTGCTTTCTTTAATTTCTAGCTGCTGTGGGATATACAAGCTTCCTCCATCATAATTCACCATGATGTGATCCTCTACTACAGTCCAAACCACGGGACTAAGTGAGCTAGGACATCACCTCTCCAAGACCACGAGCCCAAACAAATCTTTTGTTTTATTAAGTTGATTTTTTTTTTTTGGTTACTTTGCCATGGTGAAGGAGGGATGACACACTAGTTTCAGGTTTTTGGCTAAATGTTCACAAGTGAGAGCAGAATGACCAGACATTGAAAGGCTCTGGGTCCTGAGGATCTGAATGGAAGACTCTGGGCCTCAGGGTCAAATTCGTGTGCAGGAGTCTTAGTCTCTGCTGTTCATGCAGTGGGAGCTCACACTGAGTTCATCTCTGAGCTCAGGTTGTTCCCAAGCTCTGGAAACAGTCTGAGGCTCTACCAGGGAACTTTATTTTCTTTTGACTTTAACACAGTGTGCTTGCTCTTTAGGACTTGACTGAGGTCATCATGACAGTTTGCTTAAAACTTCTTTTTTTTTTTTTAAGCTTTCTCCAGCATAAAAATTGTCATTTTAAAGCATTGCGCTGGAATGGTTCAAAAATGTCATTTCAGATTTTTCAAAAATGGAAAGATAAATGGCTAGTAAAAATACAGGGTAGGCTAAAATGCATGCACCTGGATTCATGAAGAAAGACATACACTTTTAGAGAGGCCAAAGCTTGCCTTTTCTGGGGGAAACATGGCATTTGTGAGCTCATGACAATGCTGACTGTCTATGCCCCCTGAAGCCCCCTGAAGTTCCTCCCTCCCTCTCTTGTTTTCTGATTGCTGCCTAGGATTGGACCTGACGCCTTGAACATGTCAGGTAAGTAATCTCTCCCATTTCATGGTTTAATAGCTCAAAACTACTGATGGGAGATTTTAACTGCTGGTCTTTTGAAATTGGTTAGTTTACTAAATGAGGAAGGCACAGACTCAGTTCATTTGTCCAATCTCAAGTACAGTGTAAACACTTAATCTTGGGTAATGCATACATGCATGCAGAATTTCCCTGGTGGTTCATACTGTGACTGAAGTAGCTTCTGCTCAGTGACAATGTGGCCACACAGGGAAGACAGGGGAGGCATTCCCCAGGCATGAAGGAAGCAGCCATTTCAGTGAGGCAGAAGATGGCAGGTGAGCTGTACTCTCGCACCTCTTAGATGTCCACTTCTGTCTCGCCATGGGCCCTGAGTTCTACCTGCCTTAAAGTTACAGTCTGGGAACTTTTTCTGGCCCAAAGGATGTCTACACAAAGTACACAATGATGGTATGTCTAAAGGAGAGAGAGACACACACAGAGACAGAAGCACAGAGACAGAGACACAGAGAGAGACAGAGACAGACAGACAGACAGACAGACAGACACACACACACACACACACACACACAGAGAGAGAGAGAGAGAGAGCAGCAGGAAATGATCTAGAGGCGTTAAATATATGTCTTTAGCAAAGCTACAGTGTGAACTGACTTCTGAGAAGCTTTTCTCTATTAGCCAGGTTTCATGGGAGGTGGTTGAGGTTTTTCAAATATGGACTTAACAGTAAAGACAGAGCTAAGGAAACAGTTAGATGGTAGAGCACTTTGCCGAGAGTGAGAGACATCTTGGGTTCACTCTCCAGTGCTGTGCTAAATATAAATAGACAAGCTAAAGAAGAGGATAGCCCTGGAGGCCTCATATCATACACATTTCAGGACTACACTGAATTGGTTCTCCACATAGCAAGTAACATGAGATGAGGCTTCAAGCTTGTCTTCTGAAGTGGCTCTGTCTTGGGTAGATATTTTGTGCTAAAAGAAATGTGAAATTGGCAAGAGTTTAAAAGATGGATTTTCTCTATAATGTATAATATTATTTCAATCAGATATTCAATAATTATCTTAATATGTGAGCAACATTTTATGGAATAAGATAGTCCCTAAGGACAGGCAGAGAAAATGAAGAGTCTTTTTACAACCGTTATTGATTAATTATGCTGCTTGATGTAACTCATGATAATTTTGTGTAAGTTAAACATATACAGTATGTTATTTACTAAACTTTAAGTGGTTTATTTTCATCACAGTGACAAGTGCCTAAACCTTCCAAGAGGCTAACAAATTTCATCAGGGCTGGACAGTAACTCACTTCTTCCTTCCTATTGCTTGTGAAGGGACATTGAGCTGTAGTCATTTTCCTCTATGTCAGGGGTTGCACACCAGATATCCAACATATCAGATATTTACATGACTATTCAAAATGGTACTAACATTACAGTTATGAGGTAGCAACGAAATAATTTTAAGGATGGGAGTCACCACAACATGAGGAACTGTATTAAGTGTCAAGGGTCACACCATTAAGAAGGTTGAGATCCTCTGCTCTATTTCTTGGTAAATAAGGTCATAATAATGGCACTACACACCATAAATGTTTTAAAATGCCACATCTCTTTTTCTGGTCAAGGTCAAGAGATTATCAGCTTGGCTCTTTCTGTAGAAGATCTCACACTTTTTTTTTGTTGTTTAAATCCTCTTTCCATTTTAAAAGGTGACTAGATCAATTTTGTGGTTAGAAATCACAGCAGCACACTTGGCCACTTCCCGTTGAGCAAGGCAGATGATGTAACATCCTAATGTCAGTGACCATTGACAGACACATGTGGATGACACCTGCCATGGAGAGCTTGAGTTCTCATTCCTCATGCTTCACACCCCCCCTTTCTAGCACCCTTCTCCCCATGGCTCCTCCTAACTGATGTTTGTAAATAGCATCTGTGGGCACCACTGTCTCCCACCTGTTGTGTGACCAACAGCACCGGAATAAAAGTACTAACTGAGCATTGCTCATGTGCAAAATCTAGGGCTTGCTGCTGCAAACATGACCAAATGCATACAGAGAATCCTTACTGGCTGAAGATCTGGTTATGATCTACTCAGAAAAACATGATCGAGGTGTGAAAAAGAAAAAGCTAACTCATGATCCTCCTCATTGAATACAGTCTTGGAGATGGACATTGCTAGTGGCTGAATTAGGTTTCAATGGGCTGTAACAATTTCTGAAAATAGAAAGGGAAGCTGCCTCTTTTGCCTTTCTCTCTGAGCAAGGCTGTAAAGTGTGGTCAACATGTCTCCGTGAAGGTTTCTATGGCTACAGTGATTACATCCAATTCTTTCTCGTTCACCATGACTTAAAAATTATTTTGTTGTTCTCTGGGTTCAGATCGTATGTCCTGATGCTTGGCTTGGAGAATTTGTTGCTCTACTGGTGACCGTGAGATGAGCTTACTGTGACAGGCACTTTGTTTTTGCCGAGTCCCTGCACCTGCAACAGAAGTATTGCTGCACAGATGACGACCGAAGCAAAAATGACTAAGTGCTGCAAAGGAAAAACCTCTAGGTAGGTAATTTATGAGACCCAAATGAAACAAACAAACCAACTACACATTAGAAGATGCTGACAGGGGGAAAAATATCCCTCCAAAGCAGGTGATTCCTTATTTCCCTTATTTCTTTTTAATTTCTGTGCAGGGCTTTATTTAGAGCTGCTTGTTTTGATTTTTTATTTTACGTGTAGAGAAGAGTCAACCAAAGGCCTTTGGCCATC